GATTTCTTTAAATCTTGTGTTTCATATAGTATTTTTGATCAAATATGCAGAAATAGTCATAAACTAGAAATAAAGTTATGGTTCATGAGCAGATGAAGTGATAATTGTGTAGTTTATACATCACTTATAGACTCCTGTGGAGAGAAAAGTGCTGCATGTAATGGGGAATGACATTTCAGAGAAATTTTGGTAAAAATCTATATGGTTAAAGGACAGGGCTCAATTAAGTTTCTCCTGTTTTTCTTATCCTCTACGGTGTAGACCTAATCTACCTTTCTCTACATAAAACAACAACATAATCTTCCTTTCTTACTATAGTAGTAGTACTAGTACCTTCAAATGGCAAGAAAGATGCAAAATGAAAACTGACAATTTCACTTATTTTCATATCATTTCAGTAGGATGGACAGAACTAGAATTAGTGAATGTCACATATTTCTCCACATACTCGACAGCAGAAATATGCCAAAACATGGGTTATGTACAGTTCATTAAAGCCCAGATTCCTTTCTGATCTAAGATATGGAATTTGAAGAAAATGACTTGGTGCTGTGTACGGCATGAGTTACTAGACTAAGGCTCCGAAGCTGTGTTGCTGCAGTGAATTTCACTAAACAGGAATGACTCATTCTGCTGTTTAGAAGACTGACACAGAAACCCCTTGAGCAGGCTAATTCTCACTTTGCACTCTCCAGTTATGAATACATTAATATCCAGGGAATGTAGCATTGAGTTATTTGAGGACTATTACTTCCCAGAGGATTTAATTAGACAGAAACCAATATAAAGGACAAGGAAGATTATTCTCTCTTATTCAGATCTTTAAAAACATGAACATTCAAAAGAATTGAAAATAAGTACTCAAACAGGTATAGGTACATGCATGTTCACACCAGCCAAAAGGGGGAAACAGCCCAAGTGTCCATAGATCTATTCAGGGATGGATAAACAATGTGTAGTAAGTACATACAAAGGATTAAATAACTGACACAGGTTGTAGTATGGATGAACCTCAAAAACAATATGTTAAGTGAAAGAAGCCAGATAGAAAATATCATGTGTTGTGTATTCTATTTACATGTAATGTAAATAGTTAATTCTATATGCACAGAATGAAAACTGGTGGTTTTGTGTGTGTGGGGGGGGCGTGCACAAGGGCTTGAGGGGAGGAGGATATAGGAAGAAACTGCTTAAAGAGTAAGAGGTTTTGGGCCGGGGATTTAGCTCAGTAGTTTCGCTGCCTGCTGTGCAAGCACAAGGACCCGAGTTTGATTCCCGGTAACAAAAAAAAAAAAGAGTAAGAGGTTTTACTTTGGAATGATGGCAACTGGATAAAGCTGGACAGAAGCAATGATTGCACAACATTACGAACATACTAGAGCCACTGAACTGTTCATTTTATAATGGTTAAGAAAAAGAAAACCAATGAACTTGTCCTAAAATCAGAGTGCTTACCTTGCATACCATGGATGTCTTTGCTCCAAGCCTGGCAGCCTGGACACACTGGTTGGCACCTTTCCCTCCAAAGCCAATAAAAAATTTATGTCCATGGATGGTTTCTCCAGTTTTTGGCAAACGAGAAGTAAGGCTATTATAATTTAAAAACAGAGGAAAGAAAAAGCACATTAGTAACTGCAAGTGATTTAAGTTCTTTAGAAGGGGAAAGGTTATCTGATGGAGTGAGCTTCAAATAGTCTTAACAAAGAGCCCTTTAGAACAACAAGTAGAGAAGATTGCCTTTCCTTTACTTAAGGTAACATTCAGGAGTTTATTTCACTAAGGAGAATGTACTTCCTTGATAAAATTCTTCTCTCCCCTACAGCCTACAGCTGTAATTCTACTTCATATCATAATTCCTGGTGTCTGTACTGCATCAGGGATATTTATGGGGACCTCGGTTTCATACTTCTGTTTGCAATGCTCAGCAGTTTTATTCACAGTGGGATCTGGTACATGGCATGAAGTTGGTGTGTTTCTGTACGGGTTGATATGGACACTTTAACAAGAAGAAGGGGGTATGGCAGGATTCTAGAGATCATTTACATGATGTCAGGAAAGAGAAGCTGCAGTTCTAGGTAGTAAAGGATCTTATCTGATTACTTGGAGGTGGGTACTGCAAGGGGAGGATCAGGTCTTGGCCCCAGTCCACACATTTCACGTACTAACTCAAAAAGAACATATTTAAAACAATGGATCTTAAAGAGCTGAGTTTAATTTTTACTATGGAAATTGCAAATGTATAAAAGTAAAGCAAGTAGCACACTGACTTCCTTACCCCTATTCACCTATCACCAAGACTCAATCATTATCAACTCACAGCCCATCTTATTTCAGTCTAAACTTTCACTGACTTCTCCAAAAGCTAAGCGCTTTTACCATAATGTTATTGCTTGATGATGATAGTATCAAATGAGGCAAAAAGAATAAAAGGTTTTGTTCCAAGGTAAGATTTTCATAACTGTGAAAACAAAAGATGTGAGGGAACAAAATCTTTGAAAGATGGAAAGAAATGACTGACTTTAAAATGGGAGAGTTGTTCTGGGAATGGGGCAAATGAAGAAGGGGTAAAGGGGCCAGAGAACTCTCTGCTTGGCCACAGTGGGCCAAAGGCCAGAAGGAGCAGATGGAAAGCAATCATGTGTGACTAAAAAGGTTAATTAGCTTTAGATGGGAAAGGCCGAGAGATAAGTTTGCAATGGCAAGTAGTCTGAGAACTTATGCTGCTTGAGTAGATCATAAATTTATATTCATTTACAGGTTATGGTCTAGCTGAAATCAACATCATAATATATATTCCTACAGTAACAGAATGATGACAATTCCCACAGGTCACTAACAGCTTATTTGCAGGGGGTGAAAGATTAAACTCAACCCGTGAGCCTCCTTTCTGTGGTTCTAAAAGTGTTAATAAATTGGGCTAAAACTACTCCACTCCTGAGCAGCACGCTGTCAAATATGGTTGAGATTCAAAAGAGGTTCATCAATAATTTGAAAACATCCCACTCCTCCTCTTTTCAATTCTATTTTTATCTTGGATTCTAAATGCATTTATAGTACTGATGAAGAAAATATACATCCAGAAGGTTCACTTCTGAAAAAGGTACTCAATCAAGAGAAAAATGGTTTTAATGTAATGTTATTATCCTGTCATTTAATTTAGCAATGACAAGTGATGATGAGATTTTGATTTGCATCAGAAATCTTAAACATTTTAGGACTCTGTTATGAACAGGCAATGATGAGTAATCTGTGTGACTGAGTAGCTATGTGAATTCTTGGCTTATTGATGCCACGATAAACAACACTCATAACAACCTTAAAAGGAAAAAAAAATTTTCAATGTGGCTAAAAACAGGCCAAATAATTCAATTAGTGAGACTGTCACTAAGTAAATTTATGTCTTTCACTGTATTTATACTTGGATCTGGGTCAAATTCACTGGTTTGAATCAAGTGTCTTTTTTATTATCAGCTGTGGGAAATCATGAGAATTATATGACCAGATTATTATTGGGATGAATATATGTAGGGGAGGGTGGAATCAGGGGTACAGCGTATGTGTCTGATGTGGGAGCAGATGGCTGGGATTTAAACTCATTTCTAAATACGTAAATGATATTAACACAAGCACTCCATTAATTCAGCAATCACTGAAACTCATCACTCCTTTGGTATTTTACCATTTTCTTTTCTCTTCCTTCTGCATTGTTTCCCTGCTCCTGCCTCTTTTTTCTTTCAACTGTAAACTTCCCTTACATGATGACAGGGACCGAATCTACTCTATCCTCCATTTTAGCCAAAGTACCTGTCACTTAGCATGAGGTTAACAGATACTTGCTGATGGAATGAATCTTTTGAAGTCTCCCTTTGTCTCTTTTCTATGACTCCCCTGTATAACATCATTCTTGCTTCTGAATTGAGGATGTCGAGCTGTTGATTAGGGGCAGGAGGAGGAAATTGGCAGGGTTGACTATATAATTTCCTGGTGATAACAATCCCAGATTTTACCAAATTTTGCCTACTTCATTCCCAGTTTTAGCAACATTCCTCTTCCCCAGGCAAGAATTTTAACTATAGATCATATCACTATTCCTTCATGGATGCAATAACTCAAATATTGATCCAGTGTTTCCCAATGTACATTCTACAGGGCAAAATCAAATTGCTGACAATAAGATAAAATCCAAGCCTGATGCAAGTCACAGAGGAAAAAGAACATGTTACAGAGCACAGAGCTTATTATGATTCGTGTCTTTTCAAAAAAGGAAAAAGATGTATGTACGCTCATGCACTGCTTAATGACAGGAATATGTTCTAAGAAATGCATCATTGAGTGACTTTATTGTTTTTGGAACTTTACTTATTTAAACTAAGGTGGCAATATAATCCTATGGGACCATCACTGCACATGCTGTCAGTCCATGGCTGACAGGAATGACTGTGTATGCTCTCATATAGCACGTGAATGCATAGAAAGTGAAATGGTTATGACAAGAATCCACAGAAAAGGTGGGGCCAAAAATTGCACATTTTACTTTATATACTTATGTCCATAAATGTGTATAACACAAATATATTAGTGTGTTATGGTACAGCGCTGTTACTACTTCAGGTTAATTTGCCCTTGCTACCTTATTTCCTAAGTATCTGTTCTTCATGGGCACCAACTGGCTTCCTGCAGGTGCAAAAACCACCTACCAGACCCTTGGCCCATGCTATGTTCTTCCTACTGCAGGACCTCCCTGTTTCTGTGCTATGGTTCCTCAGGCTGTCCCAAAGGGCTGAACTACCAACTCAAGAGCATCCAGTGACTTACACATGGGTCTTTTTTCTGTTTTAATTTCTCTGCCATCAGCTCTTATTTCCTCCAGTACAGGGCTGAATAGAGCGTGTGCACTTAAATCTTTGTCTTACACCCTGCTTCTGTTTAAACAGACTAAAAGAGCCGGGCATGGTGGCCCATGCCTATAATCCCAGTACTTGGGAGGCTGAGGCAGGAAGACTGCCATGAGTTGAGACCAATCTGGGCTAGTTGGTGAGTTCAAGGCCAACCTAAACTACATAGCAAGACCCTGTCTTAAAAACAAACAAAACAAAGGAAAAATCAAAACACTAAGACAGCTTATTGGATGTTTACTTTTTAAAAAGGAAATTTAAAGTAGAGAATGGAGAAGCAAGCAACTAGAAAGCTAACTGCAAACGAGCAGAAGCATTTCTGAATTCTAAATCCCAATTTACTTTGAATTAGGCTTTCCTAACGTATTTCCTTATTGATGGGCCAGGGATTTAGCTCAGTGGCACTGCGCCTGCCTTCCAAGTGGAAGGTCCTGAGTTCGATCCTTGGTACTGGAAAACAAACAAAAAAAACCAAAACATTTTTCCTTATTGAAACCAGGAGATTACATTCAGGATTAAGAAAGGACCTGCCCAAAGCACCACCCCCCTGGATATAAGCATTCTGTGATTTGCCCTAATTCAAATATGAGGTTTAGCAGGGTACTGAAGATAGACAGGTTAAAGTGCTCAAAGGAAAATAAAAATAAAAGAGGAGTACTCAACAAAACAAAACAGAACAAAACACGCTTGCTACCATGTAAAAGTTAAAAGAGGCTGGGCAAAGTGGTGCACATCTATAATCCCAGCACTTGGTTGAAGCAGGAAGATTTCAAGTTTGAGTTCTGCCTGGGCAGCTTACTGAGAGCCTGTCTCAAAAGAAAAAGGCCTGGGGATGTAGCTTAGTGTGAAGGCCCTGGGTTCAACGTTCAGTTCAAAAAAGTTAAAATAGAATAAATCTCTGAATGAGGATAAACCTCAGACAAGCAAAACTGTGCTTAAGACATTTATCTGAATGGAAGACAAAGTCATAGCTTTAAAAAATACCGTATTTTTGAGCTGGACAGAAAGGAAGAGTGATACTTGTTCATAGATGACTCTGTAGTCTTCCTTGCCATGAAAAGCCACATGGCTACAGCCTGGGGTTTGAGGCAAGAGGCCTGAGCCATTTACTGATTATGTTACCTTGACAGCTTTTCCCTTTGAACCAGCTTCTTTTCTTGCAAAAACAGTTTAATAATACTTGTCAACTCCTGAAATGGCTGGGTTTTGTACTCTGAGTTAATTCACTGACAGGTGTTACCAGAACAACTTATCAATTGCTTTTAACTTCTTGACAATGAGGTGGTTGTTAGAGACTCTTAGAAATTATTCCAACCAAAGGAAGAAATGACCTGGTGACAAGGGGATGAGAAGTCTTTCAATTTAACAGTGACATTAATACTGACTTCAACCAAAAGTCAAGGAATATATTGCTTTTTGGCTTTTGCATCCACTTTTTCTTCTTCTGGCTACAAGCTTCTAACATACTGTCAGCATCCATAACAGGAGATTGTTCATTAGTTTATACCCAATTAAAGTTCATTACACTAATTTATTATTCCTACTCCCTGTACTCTTCAACCATATCTGCTCTTCTCAGCATCTGCGTATGTCACATTTAAAAGGCTCAGAGTAATTTCAAAATCAAGTTGTCACTTGCAACAATAGGGATGAACTTAGAGGGCATTATGTTAAGTGAAATAAGCTAGGCATA